ACCGCTGCCTGCTGATGCTGATGCGAATTTTCGAGAGAGGAATATTTCCCTTTCAAATTTTTGCAAGATAGCCTTCTTCGCCTTTACCTTTTCATTTTTTATTTTATATACTTAATAAAAAGCCATGAATTCATAAAATATACAAGACCTATTCAACTACATCACTTTCAACATTTAAAATTTTTCACATTTATTTTACTATTCACTTTTCTGACAGGAAGAATAAATAAAAAAATGTATTTTTGGATTTGAAAGTCTTTATAGGCAATAAAGTGAACGCAGTTAAATTTAAAAGGCAGGTTGTTTCATGGTTAATACATCAATCAAACTTATTGCTGTAGTAGAAGTTTAAAGCGCAAAAAAAGCGCAACGCTTATGAACTTCAGGCGTTTCACCTAGTTTTGCCTGTTCCTCTGGTGACATTATTCGCGAGTGATGTGCCGGTGAACAAGTGGCTGCGAGTATGGCGAATCGGAAATGAGAGTGTACGAGCGAGAGGGAAAGTAAATCGTCGTTTGCAGAGAAAAAGAGAAAATGAAGGAGCAAAGGAGAAAAAAAATGTGAAAGAAGAAAAAGACGAGTGAGAGCGGCTCTCTTATCACCGAGTTTCTCGCTCTCTTTTTCATTGGCGTCGTCGTCGTCGTCGTCGTCGTCGTCGTCGTCGTCGCATCAGCTGGCGTAATTTGATTTGCTTGCAAAGAAGCTCTCGAGGCTCCGTGACCTACCCTCACACATTAATTATAAGGGGAATCTCGACGGCACGCGCGAGCGAAAGAGAAATTCCGCTACCCCTACTTTGCCTCATTTTCTCTCTCATTTCGTCCGCCTCGGCCGCGCATCTCGCCTTCTTTTTCTCTCGCTCGCCTGCTCGCTTTTCCCCTTCCACTTGCTAAGCGCGCTAACAGCATCAGCAGCCGCTCATTCACGTCTTCCGCTATCTCTCCTGCTCCCGCTTTTTCTCTCTCCCTGACCTTAGCGACTTTGCCCCTTTAAATGAGTGCGCTTACCTTCTAAGGAATGTAAACAACCTCGCCGATTCAACTTTCTACTTCTCGAGCTTTTCTCGCCGCAGCTTCACGCTTTTTAAAGCTTTTTCATGCTCCGTCTGTCTGTTTTTTTAAACTTGATGGGCATGAAATCATTTCATGATTTTTCAATGATGATCTTCCTTTGCAAATAATGAAAATACGAACGTCAAGATTATTCACAAAGAAATATTGATGTTCCACTGCGACTGCGTTGAATATGTCGCAGAGAAGCCAGGCAGCGACAGTGGCAGTAGCAGCAGCAGCAGCCATGGTTGCAAGAGTAATCTTTGATAAGCCGGTATTACGGCTCTGTATATCCTGCACGCGTGAAACTAACCCGAATATACGCGCGCGGAGGCAGATAGATAGAGAGGGAGAGGGGGAGGGGAGTATAGTCGAGTCGTAGCAGCAGCGACGTCACTCCGCGAGACTGGGATAGACGGCTGATAGCTGCGGCAACGGCGGCGGCTGGCTTCCATCCTATTCCAGAATTTCAGTCGGTTCATCTCGTCTGGTGGCCCCATCTCTCCCCCCTATCCAATCCCCCGCTCTCGCAGCCATCCATCTACATCCTGCCAGCTCCTTTTTCCGTATCCGCATCCCACATGCGAACCACTCGTTCCTTCCTTCTCTATCTCTCTCCCGCCTTCTCTACCTCCCATCGCATCGCCACCATCCTCTCTCTCTCTCTCTCTCTCTCTCTCGTACATTCAATAATGTAGATACGAGCCGAACTCACAGGTAGACTGCATGGCGTATATGTTGGCGGCACGAGGCGACGCGTCTTGCTAGAGGCGTGCGTATCCTTTTTCGCAAAATAAAAGCCAGCCCCCTTTCTTGTCTATGCTGCAAAGATGGATCGAGCTGAAGTATCAGGTGCGACTGTCTGTCTTCGTAAATGTTTCGCAATTTCACGGCTAACTTTTATTACCTTTAACGTTTTCGCCTTTTATCGCGCACGCGTGCTCCTTCGCGCTGACGTTTCGCAACGGAAATGTCCCATCAACAAAATCGCCGAGAGAAACACAAATACTCGCGGCAAATGGTAAAATAAAAGGAGGCAGCAACAAGGGAAGAAAAAATAATAGAGGAGCGCAAAGACGAGAAGGGGGTGAAACGCCAGTCACAAAGAAAAGCGAGCGCTATGTGCGTACGCGCTCGCTCGCGCGCCTGCCTAGCTATGCAGGGTGAATATTTTACGAGGAAAATTCAGTTACCATCCAAGATTCGCGAGACACGTAGACACCCCCTCCTGCCTCGCGTATTTCCTTTCCTCTCTGACTCTCATTCTTTTTCCTCTCCGCGTTGCACAGCCATGCGAGTACCAAGCACTCTCTCTCTCTCTCTCTCTCTCTCTCTCTCTCTGAGCGCACGAGTACTTCAGAGTTAGTTAGAACGTTTGCTCAGCCATTTAACGTCCGCACTCGCCAAGAAGCTCTGCAAAAGTTTTCACCTGTGCCCGCCCGATTCACATCTTCGTACATAGACGATCCTTCACCTTTTGACTCTCTACCGCTTCATCGGCTTTCAAACTAGCCCTTTTCATTTCTTTTCAGATATCGTTATTGTACTTTTACTATTACATTTCCCCTTCGGCTTGCACTTTTCATAATCGCAAGAGCAGAATGCTGAAAAAAGATGCTTGCACGCGAAATACGTCATAAGGAGATTTAAAAATTTAATATCGCGAAATATCGAATTTCCGGATATACATGCAGCAGTAGAGCTCGTGAGAGAAACGAGCGTTCACCGCGAAAAGTGTCAGAATTGCAAAAGTGAAGTCTTCTCTTCTGGAGCGTTGCGCTCACGTCGCTGTCGTCCTCGCGGATCGTAGGAATAAAAATTGTCAGAGAGGTGTGGAGGGGTGTTGCGGGAGGTTGTTTGGGATTTAGGATAGATGTATACGTATATACGCGTGTGCGCCACGCCAGGCAGATGGAAGGAAAGAAGGAAGGCTGAGTCGACGTCTTTCGCGAGACTGCGATATATAAGCGCGCGAGCGCTGCTACGAGAAAAAGAGAGAGAGAGAGAGAGAGAGAGAGAGAGAGAGAGAGAGAGAGAGAGAGAGAGAGAGAGAGAGAGAGAGAGAGAGAGAGAGAGAGAGAGAGAGAGAGAGAGAGAGAGAAAAGAAGCAGAATACGGGAGATTCGCGTGTCTGCCTGTCCTGTAGCTGAGAAGGAAAGGGGGCACATCAGCAGGCTGCCTCCCCCGTGTAGAAAAGAGAGAGAGAGAGAGAGAGAGAGAGTAAGCGAACGTCTTGGCAGAGACGAGAGCTTGCAGTGCGCACACGAGTATATAGGTAACGGAATGGATGTGCGCGCGGGCTGAAGAGAGCAAGAGAGACTCGGATAGAGCAGGTAACCTAATAGAAGAGGCTCGAGCCAACGTCATTGGCAGAAGACGAGGCTGTCGGGAGCGAGCTTCGCGATTTTCAGACGAATTCACCGGAGAAGAGCGAAATCCCCGAGTCGACCCAGCACAAATTCTACATATCACTCGCTCTGACGTCTTTGCTATACATGTATACGTCTATACCAATAAAACAATAAGACCTTCAATATTTCATAGCCTTTTGGTCTCTCTTCCTTTTGAACAATTCTCTGGTTTAGTTGAAACTATATTTTATGCGAAGACGAATAAAAAAAGTGCCAGCAAAGCCATATATGATTTAAAGTAAGCCATATGACTGTTTTCATTTATGTAGAAATATGCCACCTTATAAAAGTGTACTTCTGCACTTACAAAAGCGGTCTACCAATATGAAACGACGATCGAGTTTCATTTCAATTCGTACGTTTGAAATATTAAATTTCCTCAATTCGCAAGCGTAACGTCGTGAGAAAGAAGAAAAAAAGTTATGTAAAAGCCTATGACGCATGGCTTTGTTATTGTAAGAGATGTGCTTCTCTCGTGTGATTGTTGATTGTCATGCTAAACTCGGTACTTTATCGATTGTGCAGTCCCCTTTTGTCGAGATTTCACAGCGACTCTCGTGTTCTCTTTCTCCCTCCGCCTACTACCTTATATCTCGTGTCAATATGGTTTCGCGCAGCGTTCTTTCTCCCTGCCTCTCGTGCATGTGGCTTTTTTGCAAATTCATAAAGAGTCTGCGCGTAATTGAATGAAATTGACGGTACAAAGCGTTCTTCGAATTGATTAGAGACCATTGTCTAGACATCTTGCGCATACGCGCAGGCGGGTGAGAAGTCGCTCTTCGATTTTGTCAACGCGCCCGCCCGCGCGCGCGCGCCTTTAACATTATTTTCCCCGCATGTGACGTACGCGCTCGCGGTATAAATCGAGGGGCTGAAATATCCGTCAAAGCCCCGCACGCGCAAAGCCACGCGCGACAAAGATGGAGATGCTCCCCGGAGATGATAACGTCCTACAAGGAAAATCGTTTTCGAATTCTTTTTTATCGTCATTTGATGTATTGCTCCTTAAATTCCTCTCGTTTTCAAAGTCTACGGTTCTCGACGTCATGCGGAAAATGAGTCACATACCAACCACGAAACAATCGAGAAACAATTGACGCAGTGCGTGTCGTTTAGCTGGAAAAGCCGTTTACATCGTAAGAATGCTAATAGTCGCAGAGCTGCAGCCACTAGAAGAAAAGAAGCGAGAAAAGAGAGTACGAGACGAATTCCTAGAGGGTGGCTCCTTATGAAATTACCATGAATACGGCAAAGTCCTGGCGCGCCTCACTGCAGTCAGTCTGTTGGAAAATCGGCGATATGAAACATCGACTGGTGCTGTTCATTCCCTTGCTCTTTTCCTCTTTTGTTCCGTTTTGGCGGGGCAAAAACGCGAAGACAGTGAGAGAGAGAGAGAGAGAGAGAGAGAGAGAGAGAGAGGGAGAGAGGGGAGAGGGAGAGACTAAAAACAAACGAGTCAAGGGAGTCGCGCAAGGTAAGGGGTGAACGTCATTCCTTCAGACATTGGCTCGTCAAGCGAAGATAGTATTGAACTCACCCTTCTGGAAGATCTGAAGCCCTCTCGTACAAGCTCGGCTGCTCGCCTTGTTCTCTTCTTTTGAAAACGATCACCTACAACCAATAGATGTTTTTCATCATTACAAACTTTTTATTAAATTCTTGACTTGTGCACGACCCGAGATGGCAGTAATTCGCGCGAGTTTATCTTGCCTATTCGTCAGGCGCGCAGCACGCGGTGTGATTGGACCGAACTTGACTGAAAAATAGCAAAGCAATAGGTGGGTCGGAAGATTTGTGGCACCTACGGTGTCGTCGGGAACTAATGTGAGCTCGCGCGAGCTTTCTTCGAGGGTAGTGCGTGGCAGAGGTAAAAATGAAAAACGTCAAGAAACGCCGAATCAGCAAGCTGCGCTGCCGCGTAAGGCACCGGGGAGAGCTGTGTGCTCTCTACGACGAGTTGAACTAGCTATAGCTTGAAATTTATGGTCGGCTTTTAGCCGCTGAAATTGATTCGCCGAGTAAACTGATACGTAATGGGCTCTCTATCTCTCCTCTTTTGCCCTCTTTCCGCGAGGAAGCTCAATCAGAGACACCCCCCCCTGCGCCTTTCCAGCAAGCCCACATCTCTATGCTCACGTGGTACTCCTTCTTATTTAAGCAGAGAATTCCTTCTCGGATTTCGTCTCGTGCGATCTCCATATTCGTCTTCGATATTTGCTCGAACCATTTAACTGCACTTTAAAAACTCTTGCTTTCACGATTCAACTGCTCGATTTGTCCTTTACGTTTAGCGATTCGTTCCCGGAAAAGAGCGCGCGGAGCAGCAGCGCCAAGCAAACCAAAACTCTTGTTTCCTCTTCGCTCGGGGAGAGCTATTTTTCAATGGCATGACTGACGCAAAGGCGCAATAACGAGTTAACGGCAAATTTGACTTCTAATACATGCTGGGCCGACGTGAGCAAAGTTGTTACGAGCGTCGATATCTCTCGCCACGCGGCCATAAAAATGCAAAATATATATTTTTTTTTCTCGGGGAAAACAGCCAGCGCGGATTGTTCACGTTGATATTACATTTTATAACTGCGCGAGCTGCGCGGTTAAAAGAAAATGGAAAATGCCTTTACGGCGTCTATTTATGCCGTGGAAAAGTGCTATCAGAACATTGCATAGCCTCGCGCGCGCGCGCGCGCGCCGAGGATTATCAATATTCAGCGGCCTATCTTCGGCTTCTGAACGCGCGGCACACAACCTCCTCTCGCTTTCTCCCTCTCACCTATCGTTTATGCCGTGCAACAAGGAAGTTTCGTCGAGAGTGTAAGCGTGCACTTTGACGACACATAAACACCCCCCTCTCTCCCTTTGCTTGCAAGCTCGTAAGCACATTCTGCTCAGATCTTTCTCCATATTTGCGCACCAACTAATAATAGCAAAGTCAATACGCGGGGGCGTGGAAACGTCCAGGTGTGTTTACTTATTTGTTCGTACCACACGATAAAAAAGTGCTGCTATGTTGGATATGAAAGAAAAGGTATCGTATCGTATTTTTTGTGAAAAGTTCAAAGAGGCGCGATTCCGGTGGCAAGCAAGCACAGGCAGGCGGGCAGGCAGGCAGGCAGGCAGGCAGGCAGGCAGGCAGGCAGGCAGGCAGGCAGGCATGCAGGCTCGTATCTTCCACTTTGCTCGGCAGTAACACCCCCGTCTCAGCTGGGGCTTTCTTCCTCTTTGCATCTCAAAGATAAGACGCGCTCGTCGAGAGAGCGAGATAGAAAGCGTAGCGCGCCGGATGCGCTATACGCTCCGCTGGAAGCAGCCGACCGCCGATAATAAATCATACGATGATACATTCTATCGCGTCGTCTATCCGCTCGCGAACACCGCAAGCCTTCCCCCTACAACCACCACCAGCGGCGTCGTACAGCTGCCAAGATAGGTAAACCCGAAAGAACCAACTAGAGGATCCTTCTCCGTAGGGTTTTCTTCTTTCGAAGGCGAAAGAGCCCAGAGAAAAAGCTCGCTAAAAGGAAGATCGCAGTCTGATGACACCACTGCCGCGTGGCGCGGACCAATACCTCGCTGGCAGGCAATCTATCATGTCGCACCTTCTATCTCTGGCTTTTGCTGCACTTGCTGTACTTCCCCCGCGAGAATATACGCATAGCTTCCAGTATATTATGCGGAGTGTGAACACGGAATATGCTAAACATAAGACGGATATACTCCGACGATTGTACGTTTTGAACGAGTCGACCGAGCAAACTTTATTTCATTCTTCTTAGCTAAACGTTGAGCTTGATAGACTCGGGGAACATTAATTTCCTCAAGTGGTGGCAAGAAAAGACCTCCCGAGCACGCGCATATATATCTTGGATTGATACACATGAAAAATATGCCGATCTGCGCGGATCATTCGGCAATGCGGCAAAGCGTCGTCTGCGAGGAGCTTGCGCTGGCTTTCATTATTTTAAAGATACAAAACTCCGTGCTCGCCTGCTCTAAAGCGTATTTCGACAGCGTTGGATTGAGCTCGGCTAAGCACGCCTCCCTGCCATCCATCACTATGTGTATCGTTATTCTTTCGTCGACTAGACACACTGCCGACATAAACCAGCTGCTGCGTTTGAAAAATGAACGTGTTTAAACTTTCAGAGAGTTCTGTGTGAAATATTGTACGAAGTAGCAAATGCAGAATAAGCATAATTTTTGCAAAATTGAAATGGAACGCGCACGTACGTGGAAAAGCAGTAAGAACCAAGTAACGCAGGGACAAAAAACAAATGGAAATAGCGTATTTTTAGGGAGCATCGTGACTGGCTGGCGCGCTCTTTCAATCTTGAAGAGGAGAGAGAGAGAGAGAGAGAGGGAGCGAGAGAGTCGAGTTTGCCGTAATCTTGTTTGCGAGGATATCGAAAGTTTGGCCATTGCCTCGGTGATATTCGGCAGGTTTTTATGGGGCCGTTACTTCCGGCGCTAGTGATACGGAGAGAAAGAGAGAGAGAGAGAGAGAGAGAGAGAGAGAGAGAGAGAGAGCATCCTCGGAGATGCCGTACGCATGCATCTTTTGCCGTCGCGCACCCCGCGGCAAAGGGAAAAAAGGAATGGGCAACTCTTCCTCTCACTCGCATCCGCGGAACTTTTACGACGACACTTTCGCGTTTATGTCGCGTGTAAATCTCGCTAATTTCATGACTTTACACACGCGCCATCTGACTTTACCACTTTGCTCGTCGACTGATATTTGCCGATATTGAATGGCGCGCCACCAGCGATTACACTTTTTCTTTTCATCCGCTACGCAGGCGTAATTTGAGATTTCCCCTGAAGCTTTCCTCCACATATATTTGCGAATTCGAATTTCATTTACGAGATACAGCATCGCGGCAAATATCAATTATCGTTAATCGCGAGTCACAAAAACATGATGGACGACTCTACGAGGAACCCATAAAAATGTATAAATTTTCAAAAAGATAATAAGAAAAAGATGAGCGGTGATAATCCGAGCGGTTAACGCCTGTTTTTTTTTACTCGTTCTCGCGTGTTTTTATCTGTTATCTGGCTTGGGATGGCTGAGAGGAAAAGGGGGAGGCAGGTGGTTCATTACGTTCAGAGAGAGGAGAGAGAGAGAGAGAGAGAGAGAGAGTGCGTGGCGGGCGCTGTTGGCGGAGCAAAGAGCTCGGCAAGCGTGCGGAATGGAATGGGTTCTCCTCTGTTCAATAATTAAGTGGGACCTGTTGCATCTCTCGCCACCCCGTTCTATGCTCACCGGCCTATCTTCGCTCTCTCACTCTCTCCGCGTGTACTCATCGAGAATGCCAACGATCCACTACTACCCTAGTCTTCGTTATTCTCGCCAATTAAGCCAGTTTCGATGCCATCATTTTTACGACGCACTATAAACGGGCTTCGTTGCGTCAATCAATGCTTAAACAATCGAGCGAAAACGAGCTCGTTTACTCGCTATCTGTGTCACTTTCTTTTTACGTTTCAGCTGACTTTTTAATGGGATTTTGCCCCTTTAAAATACTGTCAGTCACAAAGATCTCGTATACTTGGCGATAAGCATATTATTGCCCGAGAGAGGCAATTCGAGTTTTCTTCTTTCGATTAGTACAACGCGAATACACAGCGCTATAAAATACATTAGGATAAGATGGCACAGCGAGAGAGTGTAGAGACTGGTCGCCCGTCGAAATGTAATTTAAATCGAACAAATTTATTTTTCATCGTTGCGCACCCCAGTGTGTCTGCGTGCGTAGTTGCTCGCATGGAATATATCGCGTCGTGCGTTTTTTCCTTCCCCGGCCAATCCCTTTATACTTCTTACCCTCGTGCGCGCACACGCACACACACACGCGCGCGCGCACTAAGGAAGTTCGATTTGGAAAAAAGCGTCGATCGTGCTTGTGAGCAAGAGAGGGCAAAAGAAAGCACGCTCCACCCTTTGAAGGAGTTTGACCCGGCCCCAAGAAAGCGGTCCTCTCGGGAGCAGCAGTAGGCAACCTATAGCGGCCCCTATTTTTTTTTTCCTCGTCACCGTCGTTGCTTCTATTGGTGTGCGTTTCAGTACCTTTCTGTCTTCCGTGATCTATACGTATATAACGTGCATCAAAGTCAGCCAACCACATGCATGACATAATCCTTGTCCCTTGCGTCCTCCCCATAGTCAAAGCATACACAGTAAAGCATCCCCAATCGATATGTCGTCTCTGTTTCTCTACCTTCTTGCTTTAAGATCTCCACCCTCTTACGAAATTGCTGGCATGGCAAGAAATAAACTTGAATATATGCGAACTCGCTTTTCCGATAACGCCATTATATTTAATTGAATTTTAATTCAAATAAATTCAATCTGCTTTGATATACTATATTTTTCATCGCACCCGTTACAGCTTTAAAAAACAGGATATCCGTTTTTTTATTTCGAGTTTCCAAATTGAATTCAAACTTTTTTATTCGCTCACTTTTATTAAATATAGTACTGTTTCGCGTCTCTATTTGCACAGAACTGTGACGAATATAACAAGTTGAAGCTAACTCAATAAAAATAGTGAAAAAAAAGCACTTGGTAAATATTTGGAAGTTATTTATTTCATTGGGGTAAATTGCCAAGT